TCTTTGTTGGAGATGGAATTTTTCTTTCTTTTTTTTTTTTGGTTTTCACTATTTAAATTAAGTATGGATCTCTATGTACACGTGGCTGTGTGTGCATTTTGAAGAAAATTAATCAGTGGTCTCGTGTTCGAGCCTGAGAATGCAGCAGTGTTAAAACTCTTGAGGGAGAGCTTTGCTGCCCTTGTTCATCCTACCCGGCTCGATTCCGGATTAGTCGGTTCTCATGTGGATCCGGAAACCGGAAGGTTCTTGTACCAAAAAAAAATAATAATTAAGTGTAGTTCTTGTTTGGTCTCTTGAAAAATTTGACCAGGTTTTATTGCGGGATCAACACACATAGTAATATACCATGTGGGTATGGATATTGTCGGGTGTGCAAATCTAATCCCGTCTAAAAATTAAAATTAAAGGTTCAAATTCCAATATACAAGGACCAGACTACTCTCTTTAGGTTTTAAGATGAACCTCATTGGACTTGTAAGTCCATGTTAGGCTTGATGGAGAACTGGGCTTGGGTTCTTTGAAAATCTAACGGTGACAACAAGTAGAGTCAAATTTATGGAAATATGTCGTAAACGATGAGACTTTAGGGCTATTCAAGCCCATCAACAAATTGTAAGAATCATTAGATTTGGGGCCTTGTTAGCCCCAAATTTATGGAAATATGTCGTAAACGATGTAACAAATTGTTGGATGCTAACATGAAGTTGGATATGGACTGGACCCTCCCTCGATTGGACCAGGTAAAAGAAAACGAAAAAGATTTTAGGCAAAGAATTATCCAACGACAGTGGAACATTCGTCTTGTTCGTCTCTAAGAGAAGCAAATTTTGCGGCCGACCACTTGACGTGAATGCGGCTTCTTCCTCGATTGGCTTGCAGAGGATATCCTCACCTCCTTTAGGTATGAGAACTTTGCTCGAACACGACATCATTAGGGTGTCGTATCCCTGTCGAGTTTTAGCCCAATCATCCTCACCTCCTTTAGGTATGGAAACTTTGCTCGAACACGACATTATTGGGGTGTCGTATCCCTGTCGAATTCTAGCCCAATCATCCTATTAGGCCTTTGATCTCCTTTATTGTACCAAAAAATAAAAGTTGAAAAATTAATTTTTAAAAAAAAAGGAAAGATGTGGTTAGTTTTTGTGAGCTCGACCATTATCTCATGGTGTATAGTATACTAATCTTCTACCATTTCAATTATCGCGGGTGTTCGGTAATTAAGTAAATCCAATAATTTATCACAAATACTAGATATCCGGTTGGTCCCTGCAATCAACCCCTGCAGAAAGTCCAAAAACCATCCCTGCTACACAAATGCATGCACTTTATATGATGCATGAATCTTTTAATAAACTCGTTTGCCATTGTATCTTTAGAGGCAAGACGTACAGACCCATTAGCACAATCTTTTAATAGACTCGTTTGCCATTGTATCTTTAGAGGCAAGTATCTTTAGAGGCAAGACGCACAGACCCATTACCACTACACGTGGGCGTATTTAAAGATATTCTTGCCCACAAAAATGTAAAGCCACTCAAGCAAAAGGCCAAAAGACAATCATTATGCATAAGATTTCAAGTACACATATCATTCATAACAGTCAAAAGCCACGAGCAAAAAAAGGTATAAATAAGGTCATCCTCAAAATCCAGAAGTAGCAAGGCAAATATATTTCTCAAACTCAAAAGTTACAAAGTTCTGATTTTTTTGCCGTAACTAACCTTTTTCCATGACATCGGCTGCTTTTACTCTCTCCCTCTCTCTCAAATCTATCTTCAGATGAAGTACTTCACCATCTGGACTTCCTTCTGCTTGAACCCACACCGCTCATAAAACGCTCGATTATCCACACTGCAGTCGAGAATCACCTTGTAACACCCCATCTCCCGAGCATGATCCGAAAGAAACCCGACTATTTTCTTCCCCAATTGCTTGCCTCGAACACCCGAGTCGACCACCACATCCTCGATATGCCCGACTTTTCCGCAATTCCTTATGAACTTCTTCTCCACGAACACACTCCCCGTGCCCACGATCTTGCTCGAGCTGCAATCCTCTACAACACATATTATGTGGTCATCACCATATCTAGCGATCTCTTGAAAGCGCTGTTTGAATGCCTCGTCGGATATGGGCCCACACACGGTCAGCTGCTGCAGTAGCTCAATGAACCCCTTCTGCTTGTCTGTTATCTCGAGCTTCCGGACTTGGAATGTCTCATCCTCTATGGATGAGCTTGTTGTATTCATCTTTTTTCCGGTCTCGGGATAAAACGATGTCTGGAAAGAAAAACGAACCATAAGAAACAACAGCATCATTTCGAAATGATGTCTGGAAAGAAAAACGAACCATAAGAAACAACAGCATCATTTCGAAATGTTTGTGATAAGTCTGCATTCGCAAAAAATCGAACTGAGGTTATTACTCAAAATGTTCATATCTCACATGCCAATGGAACATCATTGTACATGAATCATTATCGATATAACCTGATATCTGAAACTAGAACGACTGCATAATCAATCTTCCTCAAAATCCTCAAGGGAATGCTAAATTTTGAGCAAAAATTTAGGGGGACAACGATAATACCAACAAATTCAAGAACGCCATTCGAAATTGAACATTCCACCATGATTAACATAGAAAATATGGAAACTGATCAATGAATTAACTTTGAAAACAAAAAACCAACCACCTCTGTTTCAGAAACAGATTAGCTTCAAATTCAGATATTCTTTTTCTTGATCAAAAGGGAAAATTAACTGCCGCACAATAAAAAATGAATGGGAACTCATGAATAAGAGGCTTCATTCGCAAAAGGTTCAAATGCACTATCAAAATTTTGTAAAGATAGAAAGAAGGGGGTATAAAAAGAGTACCTACTTGTCATATCATTTGATGTTCAATTCCTATAAACAATATGTTCATACATTGGTATGCCGCTGGAAAACGGAGAAGCTGACACTTACCGAAGATGATCGGAAAAGAAGATCGCCGCCGTGAAAGGCTCCGACTATGCCATCAGAGGAAGAAAAGTAGCTGCCATTCCACACTGCACAGTCAACAGTCCACACATTCTCGAGCTACAATACATTTTATGAGAAATTCTGCATATAGTACTCTAATTTTGGGCCCATTTGAAAAAGAAACCGTCTCAATACAATTCCAAAGTACAAGATTTTTGTAACTGCTGTGCCGATAACATACAAATCAGAAACACATCAAGATCACAATCACATGGGCCGAAAATAGAGTTCAGGAACATTTAAGCTCGGCAAATATGAAACTTTCTTGCAAATTCATCCATAATAAACAGCAAAACAGAGAAAATATTTTGAGATAAAAATTGTAATCGGACGGTTAACACAGACCGTAGCTGGGGCCGGCGAAGGGCGAATGCGGCGGCTCTGGTTTGACGTTCGCCGATTGTGGTGCTGCTGCGTCGGCCCTAGATATCGACCACCAATCCGATTCGAATGGTGTGGGTGAGACCGGATGCATCCAGATCTGTGGCTCTGGTTTGACTGGGGCGTCCGTCGCCGACCAAAGGAGGAAAAATCTGAAAAAAATTACGGCGAGAAGCTTTTCAAGTGATGGGGGCGGATCTGTTCTTGGTAAAGATTTAGAATTTAATCCGTGATGATCAGAGGAGAATTTCTCGTTTAAAATTTCAAAATTTAACGGTGTTACGAGTTTTGTTATTTTTAGGATTTAATTTGATAATTTAACTAGTACTGCACGAGACATAAATACAGAAATATTAAATGAGTTATTTTCACATGTTTTAGTCCGTTTAGTATATAAAGCAACATGATTATCATCTATTTTTATCTCTTTTAATTGCACCTCTTTTAATCAACATTATTTTTTAATTAAAATATTAAAATAATTAATATATTATTTCACTAACACATTTATCCAAATTTAAATTTGATTTTATTATATATATTTATTCTTTGATATAAGAGAGAATAACAATTTTACTTATTTTTGTTCATCATATAATACTTAATTATTATTTTATTATACATTTTATGTCATATAATGTCATTATTATTTATAAAGTTATAGAAGTTGTACGTCTTCTTTTTAATTTTATTTTATGTAATGAAAAATATTTAATGCACGTTCGTGTTATTTATTTATGTAATCAATTTAAAATATGTAAATAAATTTAATATTAAATAGTGTATAAATATTTTATAAAATATACACATGTTTTTTTAGAATTTAATTTTGTATACTATTAAACAACTTTGATTTAAAAAATGCCAAAAAATCGATCCCTTCTATGATCAAGATTTTTCTAATTCATATTATAAGGATTTATGGTTTTTTTAGCATACTAACCATGAAAATATATTTTATAAGAATTTAATTATAGAAATAAATCAAAATAAAAAAAATGAAAAAATATAATCATGAGTGTCAATAATATACAAATAAATTCTAAACAATAGTTAATATGTTTCAATTTTAATTTTTTATCATCAGTAAAACTATTTATTGTATCTGGTCATTATCTCTTAAATAGTAAATTATATTAATTTGAAGAACGATTTATTTTTTTATATTTAACAAAATAAAGCTTAAGAAACAAATATATTGGCAAAGATTAATTCACCAACTTGATTTTGTCTGATTACTTGGAAAAAAAATTCTACCTAACATGTTACGGTTTTTCATAAATATTTTTAGATAAAAGTGAATATTTGTGAAAAAAAAACTAATATTATGGTTAGAACTTAAAATATGGTGTAATATTATCTTGACCAAAATATTATCAACATGGATCACATAAGTCAATCTTGTAATTTATTATAATGAATATCAATGAAAGTATTACAAATATTAATAAAATAATATTTATCTTGACAAAAATATTATCAACATAAATCATGAAAATCAATCTTGTAATTTATTATAATAAATATCAATGAAGATACTGCAAATATTAATAAATTTATTGAAGTAATTATTTGATCATATGTTATTTGATCTTATTTGAAAACATGTAAATAGAAGCAATTAATGCATATATTGAAAAATGTTCTAAAAATAGTATGAATTAAATGTTTCTTAAATTTTTGCTACTATTTTTAGTAAATGGTAATTCTTTTTATATATAGATAGATACTACCTCCTATTTTTAATATATGTCGTTTTTAAAAGTTGCAGATTAATTAAAAAAAATTTTTTTTGTCAATAATAATCTTATTTAATAAAGATAGAAATGAATGTTTTGAGAAAAAAATGAAGAGTGAATAAGAAAAGACGTAATGTATTTATTAGCTAAATGAGGTAATAATAGAAAAATATGTACAAAAAATCCAAAACGACATTTATTTGCTTAATAGTTGTTAAAGCTAGTATGAAATTTAAAAAATAGGAGGGAGTAACATTTAAGTCTTGAATTAAGAAAAAAAAATCTGTCAGACCTCGATTTAATAATTTACACATCTTTCGAATTTTGTATAGAAAAAAAATCCTTTATTTTAATGTCCGTATGAATATGATATATTTTATAATCTAGGCAAATGTTGGACCATTTCAAATCTAAAAACGAATAATTATACTCATTGTCAAGGAAGAAAAATTTTTTATTAGTGTGTAGAAGTCCAATTAAGTTAACGCCCCCGCCTACATGAGCAGATTTTCAATTTTGTTTTCATTATTAATTTGGATATGTAAAGTTGTGGTCAAACTTTTGACACTAGCTCGAGCTTTTATCGAGCTGAGTCGATCTCAATTCATTAACTAAATAAGCTCAAAATCGGCTTACTTATCAACATTAACGAGCTAAAATAAAGTACAACTGATTAAAAAAAAAACGTATAAATGTCTATTCTCGAGTCATAATGAGTTGAGCTCATCTCAACACGTTAATTAAACGAGTTTTAAAAAAGCTCGATTCGTTTATTAAATGAGTTAAAGCTGAATTTATGTCTAGTAGTTCCTATCTTATATGACAATAAATTTTCTACTCAATTAATTGTACTTGGTTGAAAAAAAAAAAAAAAA